CAGACAACAGACGAAGTTAACAGACAGACAACAGACTCACCCAGTCACCCGCTATCAGTAGCCATGAGCCGAGAAAACCAAATCCAATACATGGCTACAAATCTATTTAATGATCAAAGTGCTATACAATCTACAAGGCTAGTTTAAGCACTGATCTTGCTTTGTCCTTAGCTCAAGAACATTGAGCTAATGATTTTTCAACTAAACCTGAGCCTAAGCAAGTTAAAAGAAACAAGACAAGGCCAGCTGAAAATACTTGGCTTCAGCAAGACTATTCTCCTGCCCAAATCAAATCAAATATTTACAAAAGAAGCTTGCACCAAAATTTCCATCAAAATTTTCTTTTGAAATAAAACGAATCAGAGGAAAAGAGAGACAAAGACCAAAAAAAAAAAAATGAATGGCAAAAATGATCGATTTTTTTCATTCGCCTTTTCTTCGAAGAATTTCAAAAATATCGCAAGGGTTTCCATTTTTTTTTTGAAGAGATTTCTTTGTCCATCCTCAATCTCATAACTTTTGGATTATCCGGATTTCGTTGCTTGTGGGAAATAAGTAAAAATAGATGCACAAATCATCAGAATCATTACGTTTTTGTCTAATTACAATCTAAGGTGATAAAATGGATAAAGATAGAGTTGAGAGTTGGAAGGGAGTTGGAACTAGGGCAGATTAAAAACTCGTACGCCGCTGGGACTCGAACGAACGACCTTTAGCTTACTCGTGCGCGCGACCTTTAGCTTTAGCCAACTGTGCTAACCATTATACCACAAGGTACTTGATCTCCGCTACTCCAGAGGGACTTAACTAGGGGTTTGGAAAAGAAATCTCGACAAAGTTTTGCTTACAATTTAGTGAATGTTTAGGCTTATTGTCAGACTAGAATTTGACAGACTTTGTTCATTTAACTTGAAACGATTCAATCCTAAAATGTGCACTTTAGATAAAGCTTTTATGAAAACAAGTACAGTAACTTTTCTATGCTAATAGTAAGTCAATTTTAAGTCAAAAATCACAGGCAAGATGGTGGTTTTAAATGGGATTCGAAGGAATTCAGAAAGCTCTCGGTTTGGACTACCAATAGTTGATCTTTTATTTTTTTTTTAAAACCATCTTTCATTTTTCAAAAACACTTAGTCCAGTGGCTGGAAAAGCCCTAATTGCCAAGCCAACTTGTTCAGCATTTGCCATTGCCAAGCCAACTTGTTCAGCATTTGCCATTGCCAAGCCAACTTGTTCAGCATTTGCCATTGCCAAGCCTACTTGTTCAGCATTTGCCATTGCCAAGCCTACTTGTTCAGCATTTGCCATTGCCAAACCTACTTTTCCTAGCCTGGGTTGAAGCTGGAGAAGCTAGCTCACAATGCAAAACCTGTCAAATTTGCCTACACAATTCAAAGCCTGAGTCCAAATCCAAGCATAAATATACCCCCGAAATGAGCGAAAACAATAACAGCTTTGTGAATTCTCCAAAGAACAATAGCATTCACTTTACCCAAATTTTCCCAAGAGATTACTCTAAGAAAACAGATTTTCAATTAGTTTTTTTTGAAAAAAAAAGAAATTCTAATCTTTTTCTCATCGTAAAATATCGATTCGTCTTTTTTTAGATTAGAACACGATACGAAAAGAGCTATTTGGAGAAGCAGCTGTTAGGAAAAATGAAAGTTGACTATAAAATGTCTTGAAAATTAAAAATCACATTGGTGTCGTGGGAGGGAAAAAAAGGGGGAAATTGAGTAAAAGTTAAAAAAAATTCAAAGATTTCCCACAGAAATCTGTGCTTTTTGCGTTTAAAAAGGGGAACCTTGGAAACGGGTTGATGGGAGAGTCAGGGGAGTGAGGGGGGGGAGTGAGGGGGAGTCAGGGGCAGTGGAGGACAGTCAGGGACAGTGAGGGGAATGGGCAATCGAGGGGGGAAGCTGATTTGCATGTAAGCTGAGAAAGCAGTTTGATTTTCCTTATATGTATAGCATTTTTGAAAGCTTTAGAAATAAACAGGATTGTTTTGGAAATAATTGTTTAAGACCAGATTCTGGTCTTAATCGATTTGACTTGGCTTTTGCTTGGCCAGCTTTTGACTTGGCTTTGCTTGGCTTTATCTGAGTGTTCTTGGCTTCTGATCGAGCTTTGACTTGCCTGGCCTTGTCTACAGGTCTTAGGCTAGGGCAGGTCAGGTTTTTTTTGGGTTTTAGGATGAACCCTGGAAATGAGTTGTGTGTTTTGCGTTTGGTACAGAGAACAAAAAAGTTCTGTAAATATTCAATGAATAAAATTGGGTACTTCTGCTTTAAACCTCCCAAAAATTTGTATTTTAAAAAAATGGGATAGAAAATAATGAAATGAAAATGGCGATCTGTGGCGATACTAACTTCTATGCAAATTGCCCATAACACAACTTTTAAAACGCAAATTCTGCGGAGATTTATGTCGGTTGATGTGTGGGAAGGTTTAAAGCAGAAAAGTACCATCAATTGTCGCTAAGAGAATCAATATTCTTCACAAAGAAGAAGAATGAAACGAGATGAAGCGATTAAAAAAGGATTCTTTCTGTAAACATTATCAAAACAAAACACTCACACTGAAAGGTGTAAAGTGATCAGAAAGAATCGGGAAGAGAATTGGAAAATGGAAACAAAATGGAAACAAAATGGAAACAAAATGTAAACAAAATGTAAATAAAACAAAGAATTGCCATTTTACAAAAGAGCCACTAATCAATAGTATCAATAGATCAGTAGATCAAATGAAATAGATCAAATGAAATAGATAAATAGAAACTAATCAATAGATCAGTAGTATTTACTGATCAGTAAACAAAATGTAAACAAAATGGAAACAAAATGGAAACAAAATGTAAACAAAATGTAAACAAAATGGAAACAAAATGTAAACAAAATGGAAACAAAATGGAAACAAAATGTAAACAAAATGGAAACAAAAAGAAGAGTTGCCATTTTACAAAAGAGCACTAATCAATAATCATCAAAACTGATCAGTAGACAAAATGTAAACAAAATGTAAATAAAACAAAGAGTTGCCATTTTACAAAAGAGCCACTAATCAATAATACTACTGATCAGTGCTCTTTTGATCAGTGTCCTACTGATCAGTGCTGTAAAATAGCAACTTAAATCTCTAATTATCCTGTAATCATCATAAAAATCTAAAACATCAAAAAAAAAGTTTAGACTTTGAAATCGTCTAGAAATGAGAGACGAATTTTTTAAAATTCCAAATTGAGAGGGGAAAAATGAGGGGAAGAATTGCCCGTAAATATTATCGAAAAATTGGGGGAAAGAAAGAAAAAGAAGGGGGGAAACCCGCCAATTTGGGTCAATTCAACAAAAAATTCATTAGAGAAAAGTTTCATATTTTTGAAAATGTTTCCGGACAAGATTTCATTTGAGAGAAATCTTCATTTTTTCTACATAATGCTATTTCAGTTTTTAAGTTTTCCAAAAAACAGAATGATGTAGAATTAATCTTTTGGTACACTTTAAAACTTTTTTCGAGCGTCGACTCGTGTACAGTCGGCTAAAAAGCTACCGTAATTCTACTCGACTACCGTAATCCGTCATAATTAGTAACTAGTACAGTGATCTAAGCAATTTCTACCCTTTAGCGAAGATACCGTAATCCGTTGCAGTTAGTAGATGTAGCCCAAGTATCATAGATCCCGTAGTCAGAGAGATTCAGTAATCCCTGTAACACCAATAACTTTAACACCTCTATCACTGAATAGCAAATCATAGAAATGTCCAGATTACGATTACGGCTTACGGTCCAGATTACGGCCAGATTACGGTAGTAGGGGCATATTTTCGAGCTGCTTTCTTCTGCACAGACTCAGGCACAGTAAAGTTACATAATTCAAAAGATCGGCTACAAAAAGTGACTCCAAATGACTGCAAAGTTTTCTCAACTTGGATTGCTATCTGATCAAAGATAACAAAAAAAAAATTAAATATTGAATCATAAATCTTTTTCTCTCTCGTGATCCGTTGTTTTTTGTTTGGTTTTTTATTCAAAAATATTTTTTAATGAACGAGATGCAAAAAAAAGACGAAGACAGCGAATTTGCTTTATGAATCAGAAAGAGGAAAAAAAGGAAACGCACAAATTTCATACATCACTCTCTTTTTTAAGAGTGTTATGGAGAGGTGGAGAAATTTCAAAGTTTAGTGTAAGATTACAGTAGACTGGAAGATAAAGAGTACATTTTAGAATACTCAATGTCTAATAGTAAGTGATTTGCATTTGATACTGAACGACCAAGAGTTTCTTTTGAAACCCAAAATGGAGAGTATCAAATTTAGTGCAAAATAGAAAACGAACAAGGTGAAATAGGCAAGTGAGTGAATTCCATTCTACACAACGAAATCCGCTAGACCATATTTCAGACGAATAAATCCATCTTCTCGAACCCATTTCCCACACAATCACGAAATGGGTGCATTCATGACGTTTTAGTCCAATGGTCTAAAGAAAGACAAAAGCTCAAAAAGCCATAATTTCGTCCAGAAAAGGTTTTATCTTTTTGAGAACTCTAAAATCAGAAAACATAAAATTCCCCTTTGGTCTCATCCGAAAGAAACGAGCAAGAAAGGAATGCGTTCACATTTCAAAACAAATTTGATTTTGATAAGGCTTTCTTTGCTCATTTAACCCTTTCCAACCAAAAGTTGATTCTAAAACCTTTCAAAAATCCATCATATCATTTGCCAAACAAAAATTTATTGCCAAATGCCAAAAAATCTAACAAGAGAAGAAATTTGTTGAGAGAATTTCGAGCGATGTTAAATCGAAGAGGAATAAGAAAAAAAAGGCAGTGTGAAGGGTATTACAAAATGCGAAAAAACTAGTTATGTGATAAACATGGGCGATCAATTTGGCCATAATTTTAAACAATGGAAGCTCACTTATAACAACAAAAGTTAAAAGATAAATGGATCACGAAAAGAAGTTGCTTGCTTTTGATAGAAACATTGATCTCTTTATTGAATTTGAATTCCCGTCAACTCCAGATCGCCGGCAATTTGAAGGCCCGAGATGTCGTTTGGATCAGAACGATGAGCAAAAGTGCAGTATCGCTCGCCATTAACGAAAACCTGAAATAACACAAAATTGGTGAGTTTACGATAAAATGTCAATCTAGTTAAAATATATTTGCTAAGAGTAGCTAAACGAGTAATTTAACTATTAATATCACTATTTGATATAACTTTAGTCTGCACAGTAGTACAAAATCCTGACTTGGAATGCGTAAGGCTCATTTGTGATTGCAAGATCGAAGCCAACTCCCTTCTCGAAAGGATTCTTTCCTTCGCGTTCCTCGTTACCCCATTCTCCTGCGGCAAGAGCGTTTCGCACCACAGCCTAAAAAATATCAGGCAATAAGAAGAGGAGAACTTTCAAATATTTACCTTCTCATCAAAACGTGGGTTCAAGTGCAAAGCGATATCGCCATTTTTGCGAAGCAAGTTGATGTGGAATCTAAAAAAAATTCGTTAGGCTTATAAAAAATTGTTTTACAGCATTTTTTTTTCTGGATTAAAACTTACCTCTTAGCCTTCTTCTCGCAGGCACCAAAGATGAGCAGAGATTTTCCAACCGGGAATCCAGAAGCGATTCCTGATTCATAAGGCACTGGCTAAAATGAAAGATACGTACCTATTTGTTTTCATTCTCATCAATTTTAGCTTTGCACAAAAAGGTACGCAGCCTCTTCTACAAATTGCATTTATGAATCTGTCTACTGGAAATAAAAACGCATAAGTACTGGGTAAATTGCTTGAAGTGTTGACTTTCTTAGTTTATTTTCCTTTATTCTACCTAAGTTTTTCTCTCACCTAGAGACTTCTAGAAATCGGCCCTCAATAAAAATATTTTGTTTACTCGATCGGTCCCTTTCGTGCCACGTTGCATGTAGGCAAGAAGAGATTGAGAGAGAAAACTGCTGAGCCAACATAACACAGAGGCGTCGCTGCCCATAGGAATTGGGCATCGGCCCCCTCCCCTATGTGCCGCAAACAACCTTGGCTACGGGGGAAAATAGTGGGAAAATCGAGAAAGAGTTAAAGTTTTGAACAGGAAAAACGGTCCCCTCTCTATCTCCCTATCAGCAAATAAAAAGTGATTTGATTCGCTCAAAAGCATTAAAAGCGGCACATGGAGGGAGGCAAAATGTGAAAGTTCGAACAAAATGACCCATCTTTTTGCATAAACAGTAAACACTCTCGATCGATTCACATTATGTTGAAAAGTTTTCTATGTTTAAACAAACTTACATAATATTTGCCTCCCCAATGGATGTGATTCAAGTAGAGATCGCCATCCACAGAGAGATGAGTCACCTTGGAAAGAAAATCTGTAAAAAAACAAAATGAAATGTACCTGAGAAAGTGGCAAGCGGTGCTCGTAATCCTTGAATTCTTTGTGGTCAATGATCACCTAAATTAGGCAACATTCAAATTGATTGAGGTGTTACATTTACCTGATAGCGATCGTCGTGCACACGAACGCGAATGTCAAACGAATCACCCTTCTTGATCGGGTTCGATTTGCGCTCTTCTTTGCCCCATTCGCCGTTGGTGAACGTGTTCATAACAATCTAAAAGTTGAAAACTAGGATACAACTTCACTACTTCAACTCTAGTACTCCACTAAACTTATATTGTAACCAGAAGTATCTTTTTTTTTGACATGTTCAGCCGATAAAACTTAAAGTAAATTTATAAAATAACGCCAACCTTTCCTTCATCAAAGCGAACCGAGAGATGGAGTGGTACATCGTTGCCAGAGAAATCAGCCGCCTTTGAGTGGAGGTTGATGGTAAACCTAAAACAAAAAAAGTAGGAGGAAACAAAATAAACAACACACCTTTGGCTTTCATCAATCGTCGATCCTTTCACAATGAGCGTTTGTCCGGGCTCGATCTTTTCTTGCAGCTGGCTGCGGTATGGAACCGGCTAAAATCAAATAAATAAATGAGTTATTGCAAGATACTTGATCTTTTTACCATATCTGTTATATGAACAACAAAAAGCTTAAGTATCGAAAGCATTCATCGGTCGATAGCTAACTTAGTGAATATTTTTTCTTGGCATAAACGAATTTTGAGGGAACCATGGAAGTTGCGGGCCAAGTCGGGGCCTCAGATTTTGAGATAATTGTGTGGGGACGCCTTCTAACGCTCAACGGAAAAAAAACTTTTCAAAAATCGATGCAAGGAGCCTGGGAGTTGCTAGTAGCCTAGTAGCTTACCGAATTGGTAAGCAATCATGATTAAAATATTACCATTTCATCAGTCATGTTGAACATTTTTAAAAAAGGTCTAGAGAATCGATTCAGTGAATCGAAAGAAGCTTCCTATTTTCGTTTGAATTGAAAACAGCTGGGCAAACATTAAGCTGTAAAAAGTGCAAAACCTTACAATCATTTGTTTCTTAGTAGAGCTCATCTCGAATTTTTTAGAAATGCCAAATAGAAAAGCAAAGTGGTTTTTCCGTGCGCTATCGTTTTATTGCTTGGTGAATCACCAAACAATAAAACGAGACCAAATACCAATACAAAAACGTCAAGTTTTCGGTATTCAAAAGCAAAAAAATTTCGATTTGATAAATGAAAGATGAAAAAAACTTGCATAGGATTTTTCCTCGGTCATTTTTCTAGTTACTAGTAGACGGTTCTTCGGTGAAGAATATCTGAAATGAGCAAAAAACGGTTAAATATCGATTAGGGTAAGAAAACGAAAGGGCGAGAAAGCATTTAGCCATTGTGGTGAGAAGAAAAGGCAATGGGAAATATTTTGTGAATCATTCAAAATATTTCCCAGCTTTTAATCCTATAAAGTGCAAAGAAATAGGGATGGTAAAAACAAAAAATAAAATAAAATAAACTAATGAATTGACGAGGTAGGCCATTCCGCCATTTTATTTGCGCAACTCGCCATAACTTTCTTCTAAGTGGGTCAATCTTTATGGTTTTGGTTTCATTTTGTTGCACTTATTGAGGTCTACAAAATGACACCAAAATCATAAAGATTGGCTTACTTAGAAGAAAGTTATGGCGAGTTGCCCTAATGACTCAGTTGCGCAAATGGCGGAAATTAGCCCACCCCGACTTGACATAAACGCTAAGAGAATAAAAAATGAAATTTCTTATATAGTAAAATTAGCATTAAAAGTAAAAATATTCAGCTATTCAGTGAAAGCGCCAAAATTTGAGGCAACTCTGCAAATTTCTGGGTATAAAAGTGACTGATTGAATAATTTTTTTTCACTAGCATCACAAATTGCAGTAGCACATCAAAATCGTAATTTTGGTGGTTGCGGGTGGTGGGTATGCAAAAAGGAGAATGTGCAGCGCAGAGTTGAGTCCTCTCAATCAAGGTCACCGCTCATCCCAACCCAATTTTAGATGTACAAAACGTAGCAATACAATTGCTATATACAATTGCTAAAGTTGCGAAAGCGATTGAATAGAGAGAGGAAAATGACAAGTTATTTCTTCCAAAAGGTAACCAGAGACCCGAGTAAGCTCCAATTCAAACAAACCGCAGTCTGCCGATCGTAGGAAAGAAAGAGAAAGGAAAATGCGACTGTAAACATTTTAAAGCAAGAAAATACCTCTCAACAAAGTTTTGAAGAAAAAAAAAGCAAACGCGTAAAGCTCGAGAGAACTTTTTTGTCAAACCACAAACCCTCTTCAAGTTTTCTAAGGGGGAAGTTCTGGAATTTTTAAACCTTTTTACTTTTAGAACAAAAGTCTAAAGGAAGAGAGGCAGTTAAAGGTACTGTTGTTAACTTTTTTAAGCCATAGTTCACTTGATAAGATTGAATATCTTTGGTTTAAGCAAAGAATTATAAAATCTAAGCAGTGAATAGTTACAAACAAGCAAGAAACTAACTTACAGGATCTTCATTGCTAATTTTTGTTTGCAAATTTGGACTCAAAATGAATTGAGAGCTTTGAAATTCATTTTAGATACTAGCTAAAAAGGAATCGGCTAAAATAGAAATAGAAATCGGTTAAAATATTCTTAAGATATTCAGATATCGTCTTTCTATTAGTAAACGTCGCTATCGACAGCAACAGCAACATTTTGGGCGTACGGTTCGAAAAATCAAACGATAGTGGCTGGCTTGTTTACAAATCGTGAGAAAGAATAATATTGTTATTGATGAAAGTGGCGGGAAAGAGTAAGGGCCCGGCCGGGCCACTCTCATTCACCACACATGCCCCTTCACTTCTCTTCGTTGAGGGGTCCATCCTCTTTGAGCGGCAATGACAGCACACCCCTGCCCACCCCTGCCCACCCCTGCCCATTCCCCTCTTACATCCACAACAATATCGATTGCAATGTGTGTCGGGGGTGGGTGGGGTGAGTGAGGCGTAAACAGCAACAAGAGAGGACAGGGGCTCGCGCAATACCCCCTAGTGACAGCCGCTGCCTAGCAAAAAATGGAAAAAAAAGAGAAACCCCCTAGAGAAACCCCTTCTTTCCCACCCAATCCCTTCAATGGTCACAAACAACTTTTCCCTGTTTTCCGCCCATCAGCTTATCACTCAAAAGTTTTCATTGACCGTTTTCATTGACTGTTCCATTGACTGTTCAAAGGGTTATCATTGAAAAACATTTTGTTCGAAAATTTTGTTGAAATGTTTTTTCATGCCTTTTCTAAAGCTTTCAATGCAGTTTTTTTAATGTATTAGCTTAAAAAATTATAAATTTGTTGGATTAGATATTTGCCAGGTTTAGGGTCAGGCTTAGGTTCAAAGTATAAGCACTTTTGATCAAATAGAGATTCACCAAAATAGGGTATAAGGATTAGTAGCGTCTTTCCCAACTTTTCAGGTTGAATATCTCAAAATCTAAATCTTAAGATAACTAACTAAATGGGATAATCTTCTAAAAGATACCAAGGGTCAGTTAGCACTAGATATTTGACAAAAAACTAGTGCTAACTGATTCCATGTGACTTCAAACAATTGGGCGTACTGTATTCGAACTCCACAATTCCATAGCTGACATCATTCATCAATATCTTGCACATCTATTTAGCATCTCTGGAACCGGAGCCTATCCATTCCCCTCATCGCCTCTCTGTCCTTTCTATTCCGTGCCCCTCCTCACTGCGCCTCTCCGCCCCACTTTCCCCGCCTACTGTACTTTGTGTCTACCGCCAATTTTTTTGAAGGACCGCTCGATATTTTTCATTTTCTCGAAACTGCTTTGATCATTGATTCCCAATTTCTCAATCTCCCCATTCTCAATTTCACCATTCTCAATCTCCCCATTTCAGGTAACTAATCATGCCTCGCCCTCAAGTTTTCTTCGACATCACCATCGGTGGAAAGGCTGTCGGTCGAGTTGTAATGGAGTTGTACAACGATATTGTGCCGAAAACGGCTGAGAACTTCCGCGCTTTGTGCACTGGTGAGAAAGGAGTCGGCCAGTCGGGTAAACCCCTCCACTACAAGGGAAGCAAATTCCATCGTGTCATCCCGAACTTCATGCTTCAAGTGAGTTGAAAGCTTTAGAATACTTAGAATATTATTTGTAGGGTGGTGACTTCACTCGAGGAAACGGAACCGGAGGAGAATCGATTTATGGAGAGAAATTCAACGACGAGAACTTCAAGGAGCGCCACACTGGACCCGGAATTCTCTCGATGGTGAGGAATTTAAAAAATTGAATTCTAGATTTAACACATAGAATACCAAAACAGAAAGACTCGTACTTGACTACGAAACTTTCCGTTTTCATTGGCAATGATGATTTAGACTAGGGTCACAGTAGTAATAGCTTAGTAAATGATCTAGAACAGTACTATAAACACAGTATTGTATTACTGATTACTGTACTAGTACATTATACATTGCTTCAATCAAGATATGAAACTCGCTACAAGATACAGAGGTACTGTAATCTATAACCATGGCTTAACCTCTAAATCCAATTATAAACATTTATCTAATAGTAACAATAAGCTAATAGCAATAACAATTCCCCAGTTACTGTAGCTAGTTAATGTTCAGAGTACAGCTGAATCGCTGAATCGTTCAAAGTACAGCTGAATCGCTGAATTGTTCAGAGTACAGCTGAGTTCAGAGTACAGCTGAATTGTACTATAACTTAAAGCTACAACGATCAAATCCAAACAATTATTCAGATGAACTGAACACGAATTTTCCTTTTCAGGCCAACGCTGGACCCAACACAAACGGCTCTCAATTCTTCATTTGCACTGTGAAGACTGAATGGCTTGATGGAAAACATTGTGTGTTCGGTCGTGTCATTGAGGGACTCGACGTGGTGAAGAACGTCGAAACATACGGATCACAATCCGGAAAGACAAAGGCTGAAGTAGCCATTGCTGACTGTGGACAACTCTAAAGTTTAAACGATCTCTAAATCAATTGTTGTGTAAGGTTAACTTATGTTCCCTTTTTTTTGATGTAATTTATTTTGTTGAATCCTTGTTTAATCGAATAAACTCTTTCTGTTCCAAAGAAAACAGGGAAAATTTGAATTGAAACATAAAATTGGGATAAAAAAAGGCTATTGCATCAGTCTATAAAGATCTTATCAACGCAAACACGTATCAATAGGTATCAAGAGCAGTATCCAATTGATATCAATGCTCAAAATCAATCCTAACACCTTGTTCAAATCCTTTCAAGCATTGCGTATCCTTGAATGCTGAATTCCAGGTGTTAAACGCATCTTTTATGTGTAAATCTGTTAAAAAAGATTGTAAAGATTCAAAAAAAGAATTGAATTTTTGTCAAAGCTAGAAAATAGCTTAAAGTTCGCATTCAAAACAAAAAAAAAAGGATTAAAAGCGAAAATCTGGCTTAAAATATGCAAATTTTGTTGAAGAATACATTTTTCTCCTTCTGGCTACAGGTTTTAGTTTGATTTTGTGTGTCTGTGTCTGTGTGTGTGTGTCTGTGTGTGTGTCTGTGTGTGTCTGTGTGTGTGTCTGTGTGTCTGTGTGTGTGTCTGTGTGTGTGTCTGTGTGTGTGTCTGTGTGTCTGTGTGTGTGTCTGTGTGTGTGTCTGTGTGTGTGTCTGTGTGTGTGTCTGTGTCTGTGTGTGTGTGTGTGTGTGTGTCTGTGTGTCTGTGTGTGTCTGTGTGTGTGTCTGTGTCTGTGTGTGTGTCTGTGTGTCTGTGTGTGTGTCTGTGTGTTGTGTGTGTGTCTGTGTGTGTGTCTGTGTGTGTCTGTGTGTGTGTCTGTGTGTCTGTGTGTGTCTGTCTGTGTGTGTGTCTGTGTCTGTGTGTGTGTCTGTGTGTGTGTGTGTCTGTCTGTGTGTGTGATGTGTGTGTCTGTGTGCGTCTATGTCTGTGTGATGTGTGAAGGTAAAGCTTTTGAGTTACTTAAGCTAAAGTATAGTACCAGTAAGTTAAAGTACAGGTAACAAGTAAACATATGTAGTTCCGTAGATACTTCGTAAGGTAATATTATACAGGATGCCACAGAATTAGTGGTGGCACTTGAATGCTTGGTATACAGATACTAGACAAATCTAATGTACCAAATGTTATAAAGGGTGGCGCACAATTACCAGCACTCAGCTCAGATTCTCCAGCTTAGCGAAGAGTCAATCAATTGATGTAATTCTTTTTTTGATTATCAAATTGAATATTTCTCTTGCAATGTGATTTCTGGATTTGATCAGAAAAGTTTCTAAACTTTTGCTAGAGCGCTGCAAAGTTGAGACACGCGTTTCCTGCGACGGAATCGTGATTTTCTGGTTTTTGTAACTAGTTTCAATGCCATTTCAATTTCAAAATCAAAGGAAAGCAGCTTCATTTACTCCTTTTTACTTATTATTTCCAAAATTCTTACTCATTTTTACTAGAAAACAATGAATTTCGATTAGGGATCAAAGTTCAAAATGTGAATTTGAACTTTGCTCGAGCAGGTAATTGAAACAGATAAAATTGGGATGAAAAAAGGCTAGTACACCCTGCATATCTTTTGAGAGCTTTAAATCTCCTTCAAATAAATATATCAATAAAATTTACTTGAAAACTTTTTCTTTTTGCGGCTGAGTTTGGTTTACGCTCGCTCACCCCGACACTGCGTAGAGATGCTGGTGTTTTTAGCTACCGTAAATACTGTAATAGTACCCCACCCGCATAATGACGGTGCGGAGTGTTGCGTAGTCTAGCTTTGAACGAGTTTTTCTCGACACTGGTTTATGCTACAATGCGCGCTTAGGTATCAAAAAAATAGCTGAAATTCAGGGCTATTTTTTGATACCAAAGACGCATTTTTCGAAAGTACAGGCGCTTTGAAAAAATGAAATACGAAAGAAACTTTTGCGACTACGCGACTGTACGAGGGTGGTGGGGTACTATTACAGTATTTACGGTAGCTAAAAACACCAGCATCTCTACGCAGTGTCGGGGTGAGCGAGCGTAAACCAAACTCAACGCAAAAAGAAAAAGTTTTCAAGTAAATTTTATTGATATATTTATTTAAAGGAGAGTTAAAGCTTTCCAAGGATGTACAACATTTGGTACATTACGAGTGAGATTTGTATAGTATCTGTATCTGAAGCATTCAGATGTCTCCATAATTCTGTGCCACCCTGTATTGATAGATAACTTAAGTGACTAACTAGGGAAATGCACGAACTCTCTTGTTTAGCTGCGCAAAAGCTGGTGAGCTTTTGTCTGAACACCTAGTGCACTTTATAGAATCGGGTATGAGGAATCCAAATCTGAAATCAAAATCTGCCAAATGACTTTCCAGGTGTGTAAAACTTCAATCGAAAATTTGTCGTCAAAACGAATGCTTTAAAACGCTCCTTTCTAGCGAAGGTAAGTTGCGTTGGTGCCTAGTGGATAAGGCATTAGGCTTCCCGCCAGACGATCAGAGTTCGATCCCTTAAGCAGCTCTTTGTTTCTGTTTTTCCTTTGGAACAACTTCTAGCGTTTTACAATTAATTGCATTATGCTTTTTCTTTTAATTTCTTCGATCGTTCAATAGATTTTCTCATAGCCGGTTCTATAAAGTGCACTAGATGCCCAGAAAAAAGCTTACCTTGAGTTAAGGTAAGGTAAGCTTTTGTCTTACCTTTTGTCTGCCTTTTGTCTGCCTTTCCCTAGTAAGTAATATGGTTTTGAACTCTTAAAATTGATAGCTCCTATATTCTGGGTTTTTCTAGATTCAAAACTGAAGCCTGGTCTGACAAGCTTGGCTCACACAAGTATCTGAAGCCAGGTCTAGTCCTGGCCTTGTCCTGGCCTTGTCCTGGCCTTGATTGACCCGGATCTGTCCCTGAACTTGAAGCCCTAGGATCAGCTTACAGACTCTAGTTCCTATTGGAAGATTCCTGTCTATATTTTGCTAGATATCTGCTCCCCTGATGCTCGTTGTACGAGTGTATATGTGAGTGTTCGGCATGTTACAAACATTCAGCCAATCGGTGGCACTCAAGAACTTGAAAGCTTCAAATAAAGCGTTGATTTATCCCCGTCAGTTGTCTCTCCCCGAGCGTTTGGTCTTTTCACTTTTCTCTTTTCAGATATCAACAATCTCTATAGCTTTATAGCACACAACACATCTAAACAGCCATCTTAGAAATATCAGTCTTGTTTAAAACTCTTTAAACTTTAGCTTTGATTTGGAAATTCGATTCGTACTTTCTGCTCTGAGAAGCGTAAGCTATCTGGCGCACTGACTGCATCGATTTTGATAAAGATAAAGAAGCAAGTGTGCCAGAAGATATTTGTTTCCCAGAGCACAAAGTACAGGCTATCAAATCTATGAACCTTGCGTGTAAATCGCTTTTTTTTTTCAATCCTTCTTCACTCAACAATTGCATTTCCGATTTGATTTTGTTTTAGCTTTTCTGAGAATTTCTTATTGAAAAAGTTTAGATAATTTCATAGAAAAGGGATTTTTTTGTGAAGAAAACATGATTCGATGTAAGTTTTTTTTAAACTGACTAAAAGATTACTTTTTAAACTGGCTAAGAATTAACTGAATATCAATAGTTCTTTCCATTTTACATTAACCAGTAAAGATACTGTAAAGTTGTTGTTGTTTTTTTTAATCTTCTAGTATTTTTAAGTGAAAAGTGTTAGGCAATGAGGACTGAATAGGCTTTTTTTTTCGACTAAAACTAAAAGAGTGAAAAAGTATTCCGGCTGAGCAGCATCACTTCCGACAAAAGCTACTATAAATGGCATTTGAAGCAATCTAAAATAAATAGCTAATCTAATATCGAATATTATCTAATAGCTGAAAAACTAAGAATGCAATTCCAAGAATTGCAGTGCTACTTTTGGCCGTTGTCGGCTCGATATTGGCCGATGAAACATCGACAGCCAAAGAGGTCAACTACAGGAAATATATCGGTGAACAAGACTATGTAAGGCTTGAGAAAATCACTAATAAAAGCTGCATATATTCGAAAAAATAAAAGTCTCCGATGTGTTTTTTATAGAAAGTTCCCTTCAAAACCCGAGTCTCCGAGGAGTTCAAAGTCGGGCAAACGATTCACACGATTGGAACGCTGAAAGAGGAACCAAAGAGGTTCATTTTCGGCTTATTCAAACAAAATTTGAATTTAATTGCATTAGAACTAGAATTTGCATTAGAAAATCAAATTTTTGTATGAAAATTGAAAAAAATTGAAATCCAGAGTCGACTTCAACTTCCATAAAGGCGCCGAAAAGGATGTTGACATGCCACTTCATTTCTCCATTCGTTTCGAAGAGGGTTTGTGAGGGGAAATTTTTCCATATAGCTATAGGAAATATTAGTGAAAAGAAATAGAGTTTTATATAATTTATATAGCTTTGCTATTTGTTATTAAATCTACGTTTAGCCGGTCTTTTCAATAGCGGGAAATTCGTGTACAACACGTTCAAGGACGGGAATTGGAGTGAAAACGAGCAGAGAATCTCGAATCCGTTTAAGGTTTGAGATAAAGAGACTAAAGAGAATTGTTAACAGAATCTTTCATAGAGTTACCGTATTACTAACTTGAGTCAGTACAGTAAGCTGCTATAAATAATAGAATCTAAAAGCCAGTACAGTAAGCTGTAAGCCAGTACAGTAAGCTGCTATAAATAATAGAATCTAAAACGATCTTTTCAGCCTGGCCAGGAATTCGATCTCCGTGTTCGCGTTCTTGATGGCAAATATCAAGTAAAGGATTATGTTTTTCACTAATAAATATTCTAATAGAGAGCTCTATAGGAGCGTTGTGTAGTCTAACTCTGTGTAGTTCACTCTCAAAGAAACGCTCATAACTCAGCATCAGTACGTTTATTTCTACGCGCTAGGGTGACAAAAAAAGAGCCGATATTCACCATCTTTCAATCATTTTATTCTAAGCGCTCGTTAAAGCTAAAAATAAATTTGATATCTCAAAACAATCACCCATTTTCTCTACTTTAATTTGATTATTAAGCGGGTGGAAACAAACGTACTGGTGTCGAGATATAAGCGTTTGTTTCAGAGGAAACTTAGACTCTATTAGACTATTAGACTTCTATTAGACTATTAGACTATTAGACTGTTAGTCTGTTAGACTACTAGACTATTAGACTGTTAGACTGTTAGACTATTAGACTATTAGACTGTTAGACTATTAGACTATTAGGCTATTAGACTATTAGACTGTTAGACTTCTATTAGACTATTAGACTTCTATTAGACTCTCTTCTATTAGTCTTTCTTCTATTAGAAAATTTACGATAACTCTCAGGTTTTTGCCAATCGAATCGACGTTGGATTCTTCGAGCAGAGACAATCACTCAAAGGAGTAAGCTTACAATTTGAACGCTATTAGAACATTGTTGAGAATGGCCGAAAAATGATCGAACTTAAGTAGTTCTTTAAGTCTGCTCAAATCAATTTGATAAATAAAAAAACTCAAGAAGAGAAATAGCAGAAGAAAAAAAAGCAGAAGAAAAATTACAGATTGATCACGTTTCAATCCGTGGAGACATCTCGAAACTTCGTCTTTTCCATTACGGTGGCCGAATCTTCCCCAATCCCTACACAGCGATCGCTGAGTTAAAGCCAGGAAAGAGATTGGATATCTCGGGTCTTCCAACTGGTTCGTGTTTGAGAAATTTACTTACAAATGAGTTTATTTCGAATATTTCTTTACCTTTATTCTATAGTAATCCTTTTGGATATTTCTGCCTTTTGACTATCCTTTTGACTTTTAACTTTTGACTATTTTAGGTAAGCGTATCAATGTGAATCTCTACCGCGAGAACAAGGAATTCGCTCTTCAGGTAAATGGAGAAGATTGTTTAGATTGTTTTAGATTGTTTGTCAGTAAAGAGTAAAAATCGTAGCTGTAACAATCGCAACAAATTTAAAAAACAATTAACAATGTTGAATTCCAAGGTTTCAATCCGTTTCAATGAAGGAGCCATCGTTCGCAATGCGATGACGAACAATGTTTGGGGAAAAGAAGAAAGAGAAGGAGCGATGCCGATCGAAAAAAATCAAGTGTAAGTTGGAGAATATTTGAATTGGAAAAGATACAACTATAGATAAAGTTCTTTGAAGTGCTTTCTAAGATTTTTAGGCTTTTAGCTTTTGCACGGTGCAAACTACAGTGGTTCTTGGTGTAGGGTTTTGGGGAAATCCGGGTGTCGACCACACTTTAAAAAATCCAAACACACTTGCAAGATTCTTAAGCTTTCACACAGCAATTTGAAAATACAGTGTAGTGGTGTGTTTGGGGGTTTTTTTTGAAATTTCGATGAACACCTTAACTAAAAGTTCTTAATTTTGATCAATGGAAGATTGGAAGATGCTATAGTTACTCCAGAGTTCAACACCGTGCTATAGTTACTCCAGAGTTCAACACCGTGCTATAGTTACTCCAGAGTTCAACTCCGACTCCTCATTCTAGCCAATCATTCTTCATTGAGTACAAACTCAAAATGTCACAGCTGATCTATTTTAAAGAAGATTGTTTTAAAGATTCTTTCAGCTTTGATTTGACCATCATCAACGAGGAGTTCTCCTTCCAAATCTTCGTCAACGGAAAGCGATTCGCCACTTTCGCTCATCGCGGATCCCCGTCCGATGTGCGCACTTTGGAGATCGATGGAGAGATTGAGGTTGGGGAGAATTGAATTTCTAAGCTTTCTAATCTTTTTCACGTATCCAAGCCTTCTCCCTAGCATCATCCTCTTGTTTACAAGATAGACTTTCAAAAAATAAACAACAGCTGTTGGAGTTGAGTCAAGAATGTGAACCTTTTGAAAGAGTCCACAAATAGGTCACAATTTATCTCTAATCACCAGTGAAATCAAAGAGAAAGAGAGATTAGAAAACTTGATGGAGGATTGATGGATCAATTATCCATCAATCCTCTCTTGCGAAAAGAGACTCAAGCCAAAGATCGGTCGTTTTACACAGCTTTATGAGCTGTGTATTGAGCGTTGATCGAAAAACAAGAATTGGAGGGATAAACAAAAACAAGCCCTTTCTCTTGATGGGTGCATTTTAGAAAACAAAAAAAGAGATGATAAAATTTACTGTGTAATCTCAAATGAAAGCTTCAGGTGGTTCGGGTTTTAGGGAAAAGCCAGGGGGAGTTCGATTGAATTGTCCTCGCTGCTTGTTTAAGTAAGACAATGGTTTGGCAGGATCCAGAATTTGTACCAAAAAAACTGGAGCTGGATTTAAGGGAAAAGGCAATCCCGGGGATTTGAACGTAGTGATGCCCAACGGAGGAGAAAAACGGTCCAGCTGCTGATTGCTCATTCTTTCCGGGGTTCCAAAAGTGAGCAGATATCTATCGGCAGGGTGTGCCAGGTAGAGAGTTATTGTGCGGGCGCTCAAAGAGCACCTTGCCATTTACATAGGGATTTTTCTTTTATGTTGTAGATGGAAAAAAAAGAAGAGATTTAGCTGTAAATTTGTGTACGGGGTTTTCGGGGTCGGTGAATCGATTGAAGCTATTCATTTTATTAAGTCAACAAATCAATCAATAAGCAATAAACAAAAACATTCTCATCATGCAAAAACTTAGAATTACAGTCTTTTTTTCTTAAAAAAACGAGTGCTAACTAATTGTTAACTGAACTGAAATGTTAAGAAAAAGAAAAGTACGTAATTAATCACAATTTCCAGTTGCACACCGTCACCATCAACGACGCTCCGGGCGTTTGATTTTTCTACTGTAACAAACACTTTGTAATGTACAATTTTCTGAAAATAAATCGTTTTCTCAGCTTTTATTTACGAAAAGAATGGAGAATGAGAGGAAAATCGCGTTAAAAATGAGGGAAATGAGGGAAATGTTAAAAATGAGGGAAACACCGCGTTAAAAATGAGGGAAACACCGAAGAAAATACGGGAAAGTCAGAGAATTTTCTGAAAATTCAATGCGATTTGTCGAGATTTTGTTTTTGATATTAGATTAGACCTATCTATGGTTTCTACCCATAAACCAAAGCTGCTTTGATCTCAAAGTTCAATCCAAACCACTCTAGACTAGCCTTTGATTGAGTGAACTGATCTGGCGAACCTATCTGAGGTACTTAGGCAAATCTCGACTTCTAGATACGGTCTAAAGAAACTCACAATAAACGCCGACGAATCATTACACAATGGAGCAAATGTGGCCACCTCGAGAACACCATCGGCCAACATTCTCATGTAATAGACTTTGGCAGAGAGACTGAAGAAAGAATCTTCTTTTCTTTTCTTCTAAATCTTCTTCCCAAACTCATATCCAAACTCAAATGACACTCAAAATCTTTGCACTAATTTTCTTCCCGAAATAGTGAGCGATGATCGCCGCCAATTTACCGGAACCGATTGATACGTAGAAAATGGGAAAGATGGGAAGGATGGCTGGAAGAAGATGGGAAAGATGGGAAGGATGGCTGGAAGAAGATGGGAAAGATGGGAAGGATGGCTGGAAGAAGATGGGAAAGATGGGAAGGATGGCTGGAAGAAGATGGGAAAGATGGGAAGGATGGCTGGAAGAAGATGGGAAAGATGGGAAGGATGGCTGGAAGAATCTATTCGTTTCTTCTCAGAAATCGGGTATTTTCATTGTGAAAAGCTATCATAGTACTTTGCCAAGTGCATTTGTCTGTCGATGCAATAATTGCAATAATTGCAGTGTTTTCCTGGCTTTCCCGGCTTTCCTGGTATCATTTCCTTTTTGAATCTTTAAAAAAAGGCTTAAGATTAAGAAAATGACTGTAATCTAGATGTAAAAGTCACCAAATGCATTCTCGAATTCCATCTTTTGCATTGATGACGATGATTGCTTAGGTTAAATGATTTTCGCTGAATATTCTTGAATGTACACATTTGATAATAATAATAATAATATTAATATTAATATTAATATTAATAATAATATTAATAATAATAATCGTGTACACATTTGATAGTCTCTTTTTTTGAGCATTTTTCTTTTTGTAAACTAATCGTTGCTTTCTTTTTGTCGAATATTTTTGAAGACATTCTGAATTCAGAGAATGAGAAGGGAAAATTGAAGGATTGTTTTTTGATTGATGATTGTTGATGAAAATTGATTTGATTGATGATTGTTGATGAAAATTGATGATTGTTTTTTGTGTGCAAAAAATCATCAACTTCAAGCGTTTCATTGAGAAGATCGGTGATTGAGGTTTTAAATGATCTTTGAAACTTTCAAATGAAACAAATCGTATTACTGTATTTTTTTTTGGTTAAAATTTGTAATGACTCACGGGATATAATCAGTCGAAAAGCTCTGAAGACCCTTTAAAAGCATTTAACAGTCGAAAAGCTCTCAAGATCCTTTAAAAGCATTTAACAGTCGAAAAGCTCTGAAGATCCTTTAAAAGCATTTAACAGTCGAAAAGCTCTCAAGATCCTTTAAAAAGCCAATATTCTCCCATAAAAGCGATTCATGGAATTAGATTTGTTAAGAAATTGTTGAAAAACAAGCAATAGTTGCAAAAGGGGAAAAGCTTTTTATTTAATTAATAATGAAATCGTTTATTCGAGCTGATGATCACAAAATCATCAAGGGAAGGACGAGAAGAAATCGCGGAAAATTGACGGAGACGGGCGGAGGGACGCATGAAACTGAAAAGAAAAACGATATCTTTTGAGCTTTTCTTGGTATTGCTTCCCGCTGATAATCAATGTAATAAGAAAGGCTGGCTAAGATCGAGCTAGGACAGAGCTAGGACAAGCTAGGACAGAGCTAGATCAGACTCTACTCTGACGGTGATTGGCCAGCTTTTTCCTATTAGATTTGGGTCTTGATGCACTTTTTAAAAACTCTACTTATAGATAATCAATTCACCAATTGACCTACAATTTCTTTTATTAGAAACGTTTACTATTTTTCTACAAAATAACGTTCAAATCTGTTAAAAAAGAAACTGTAAATACTCAAATAGAGCCACCTCTTCGTATAGTCTAACTTCTTTTTAGAAAATTATTTTTTTCTCAGGTCCTAGATTTTTCTCAACTATATTTTTGATATCAAAAAATACTAGATTTCAAGAGCTATCATTTGACACCCAAGCGCACACTGTAGCTTAAAGTAGCGCAGAGAACGGAGCGTGTAAAGTTAGACTACGCGGCAATACGCCGTCATTATGGGGACGAAGTCGGGCAGTCAAAAAGGATTTAGGTACTTTAATTCACAAAACCTACGGTAACTACTGTAATAGTACCCCACCCCCCATGTACAGTCGCGTAGTCGCAAAAAATTTTTCGTATTTCATTTTTTTCAAAGAGCTCGTACTTTCAAAAAACGCGTCTTTGGGATCAAAAAATAGCTGAAATTAAGGGCTATTTTTTGATACCTAAGCGCACATTGTAGCATAAACCAGTGTCGAGAAAAACGCGTTCAAAGCTAGACTACACAACACTCCGCACAGTCATTATCGGGGTGGGGTACTATGACAGTATTTACGGTAGATGTTTTTTCGAATAATGATAGCACTTTTTCAATTAAGCAATACATCTAGCAACTTATTGAAAGGCTGAAGAGGATAGATATAAGTGCATAGGGGCCACGGATGTCCGAACCTCTACGCAAGCATAAAAAGAACAAAAAGGTGACTACGCGACACTACTACGAACGGTCTATTGGAGTGTCGCGTAGTCGTCGTTTGTTTGTGTAGAGATCCGGATCCGGACATCCCTAATATTAAATCACTTAGGGACTATTTTAAGTACATGATTTTACCGTAAATACTGTAATAGTACCCCACCCCCATGTACAGTCGCGTAGTCGCAAAAAATTTTTCGTATTTCATTTTTTTCAAAGCGCCCGTACTTTCAAAAAACGCGTCTTTGGGATCAAAAAATAGCTGAAATTAAGGGCTATTTTTTGATACCTAAGCGCGCATTGTAGCATAAACCAGTGTCGAGAAAAACTCGTTCAAAGCTAGACTACGCAACACTCCGCACCGTCATTATGCGGGTGGGGTACTATTACACTATTTACGGTAGAGGTTATTGATTCAGTTTAATTACAAAAAATACGATATTTACGGTATGTTAATGTCAATAGAAAAAAAATCGATCACAAAAAGTTATGCATATAGCCAAATTTTCAGAACAATCTGCTCGGCGAGTTTCTTTTCTATCAAATTTTACGTTCAACGAGTTCCTGCATTCGAGTTAGCTTGTCAGCGGATTTAAATTGACTTAAAAGAATTGAAAAATGCATGAAGACCATTTTCTACTTGCAGCAAACGGTAGATCAATTGATGAATTTGTTAGTTAGAAAAAAGTGACCAAAGATTTTGCGTTCAATCTAATATTTCTAATATAGTTCGATTATCAAATTCACTTTCCAAACCTCGATGGCTGATCACCAAGTACAATCGCATTCACAAATGTGGGTCGAGCCGTTTGAGGGCTCACTGAGAAGCGGAGAGAACTCGTTTGAATTGTATCCTGGAAAGTGTTGAATTCTGTGTTAAAAGTTGGATCGTCAAACTTGATCTTGCTCTTGTTCTTGTTTTTGTTCTTGTTCTTGTTCTTGTTCTTGTTGTTGTGCTTCCATTAATTGAATGATATCGGAAATCTCTCGTGAGCTCATCGTTCTTCTCGGTCGACTGCTGCTTGGGATGTCGTCGAATTCAAGGCTACAATTTTGAATTCGAATAAATAATCAATAAATATTCAATAAAGATAAGGTCTAAAAGGCTTTCGATTTGTTAGAAATCGGGAGTGGGACAAATGCGACCTTTTTTTTGCGCATCCGGCCCATTAGCGCACCTTTTTCGCGTTTTAAAAAAGCTCTAAAAAGCTAATATTAACCAATTTCTACTCCAAAAGTTGTTTTTCTAGGTAATTTTAGGGCGTAGAATCGAAATTTTGACATAACAGAGCGTGTGGAACCAATTTTAAAAGACAAAACGGCTAGATCAAATTACAGAAAATTATCGATTTTTCTCTTTGTATAACTCCGTCCGTTTGTTTCCACAAGCTCTGTTATGTCAAAATTTCGATTCTACGCTCTAAAATTACCTAGAAAAACAACTTTTGGAATAGAAATTGGTTAATATTAGCTTTTTAGAGCTTTTTTAAAACGCGAAAAAAGGTGTGCTAATGGGCCGGGTGCGCAAAAAAAGGGCGCAATTGTCCGGGTGCGCAAAAAAAAGGTCGCATTTGTCCCACTTTCTAGAAATCTCAATGATTCACCTGTAATCTTCAAATTTTTGTTGTAATTTCGGACGAACGACAAAAATGGGATGATTCGGCGATGAGCTTTCAACGAAATTCTCGAAAGGAAACGCCAAAATTGAGCCGAAAATCAGTAAAAGATACAGTAGAATTTGGTGCATTTTAGAAAAGAAATGAGAAAAAATAAGGAAATAAGAGTAAATGAGTCGGTGGGAAAACAGAGGAAATGTCGCTTTTTACGGATTGCCCCAAATTTGGAAAATTGCATTATTTTCACACAGACACACTCGCATTTTTGAGTAGAAAAAAAAACGAGAGGAGAGGGTCAATCATTTAGAATTCAAAAGAATCTATTTCAATGTAGTTGAATGGGATTCATTTGGCGAGAACACGTTTTGTTAGATGAAAACACTTGAAAACAAAGTAGACTAGGCAGGCACTTTAAAGTACGCTACTGTAAACCGGGACTTGATTATTGTAAACCGGTAAAAATCATTACAGTAACACAAGTCGTTTCTTCGACGTCACAAAGATTACTAGAATCCCAACTTTCTTACAGAGTTCTATTAGTTGGATGAGCTCGAGTGGAAATGGAGGATGATCTATAACAACTAGTACAACTAGTACAACTAGTACAACTAGTACAGCTTGTCAATTATTAGGTTGGCCGGAAAGTTCTTTGCCGGTGTAGCCGTAGTTTTTCACGTGGAAAGATCTTTCAAAACGTCAAGGAAATGCGCTTGTCACTCACTCAGTTTTTCGGTTCGAAGCCGATTTAGATTCGATTTAGAAGTGAGTTTTACCGCCGCGGAATCTATTTGTTGCCGGATAAGTGGAAGGATGTTATTGATGTTGACGGTGAATATTTCGAGTAGGTAAATTCTGTTTTTTTTTATTTGGCGTTTTTTGATGCATAAAATAAAAAGTTAGATCTAGCGTCAAAAAACGGAAAGAACTTTCCGGCCAATCTGGGTTGATGCATAATTATCCGGACTTCTTTTGCGGCTTTTCTTTTTTTTGAAAGCTTTTTGTCTATTTCTTTTTTTTAAATATTCGTTATTCTTTAGTGAACAAAATGCGTGTCGACAATCATATCCATCTTCGCCATATCATGCTCTACCACTTCGAAAAGGGATGGTCTGCCGCAGAGTCGTTTCGCGATCTCAAAGAACTGGAGAAGCCCCAATAATAGTACATGCTCAAGTTGAAGAAATGATCGACAGATATAAAGGATTTTCCAAAAAATCTGCCTAAAATATTCACTCTGGCACGACACTCCCCCAGGAGCCACTAGAAATTCTGAGAAAAATCCCGTTGAACTGACTTTTTTGGAACACAAGAGAAAAACACATTGATGGCCTAGTGGACAACAGGATTACGATTCGGTCCCTGGTGTGGATTTTTGTTTTTCTTTTTCTTTTAGAGCAACTAATTGCATTGTGGTTTTCCTTAGCTAGTAGTAAAATATGAAAGAGCAGATCAAATGCTACAAAATAAATATGGCACGCGTATACAAAACGAATTTATTAGCTTTAAAAAATTGTTCAAACCTAAAGAGAAAAAAAAATAGAAAACTTTTAGTTCACCCTAATAGTAGTGTAGTCTGTAATAGTAGTGCAGGCAGGAGGGGGGTCGAAAAAAGTAGTAGGAGACAAGACCCCCCGACTAGGAGACAAGACTCCTAGTCCGGTCTGCTATGACGGCTACTGGTACAATGTAAAATGGTGTAAGATGGCCTAGTGGACAACAGGATTACGATTCGGTCCCTGGTGTGGATTTTTGTTTTTGTTTTTCTTTTAGAGCAACTAATTGCATTGTGGTTTTCCTAATAATTTTCCTAATTTCCTACTAATAAAAAAAAACCTTCAAAACAAAGCTTTTTAAAAACTTTCAAAAGTGATTTGCAAGGGAAATGATTGGGCTATCAAATGAAAAAGATCGTTTATCATTTGGTAGCTTAAGACTTATTCAATTTGATTGATGGCCTAGTGGATAACGCACAGGAATACGGTTCGGTCCATTGGTGTGGATTTTTCTTTTTCTTTTTCTTTTAGAGCAACTAATTGCATTGTGGTTTTCTTTTTAATTTCTTCGATCGTATATTCTTTTCCCAATTTGCACATATTCCATGCAAATTTACACTAAAATTTAATTAAAATGCAAACTAAATGCACTAAGCACTCTTTTCAAAAAAAAAAACAAACAAACTAGGGACTTAGTTAGGGTAAAACTCGGGCTCTAGCTTCATCAAAAAACCCAGAGAGACTGCTCTAATTCAATATTTGAATTCAATTTGAATTTAAGTGAAAGACAGTACTCAACCTAATAAATGTTCATTCTTTGTAATTGCAGCCTGCTAGCTCACCTATTTCACCTAGCGCCTAGCTTCGGAACGCTGTCGATGCAATAATTGCAATAATTGCAGTACTTTCCTGGCTTTCCCGGCTTTCCTGGTATCATTTCCTTTCCGAATCTTCACAATTTGCACATATTCCATGCAAATTTACACTAAAATTTAATTAAAATGCAAACTAAATGCAAACTAAATGCAAACTCGATCAAGAGATTCCTTTTGACTCTTCAAAAACCCAAAAGCTTCAGTCATCTATGAGATGTTAGGAGAACAATCCCCCACCTGTAATCTTTTAAAAAAAAAACAAACAAACTAGGGACTTAGTTAGGGTAAAACTCTGGCCTCTAACTTCATCAAAAAAACCCAGAGAGACTGCTCTAATTCAATATTTGAATGTAAAGAAAGGGGAACAGGTGGGGGATTGTTCTTCTTTCGCCTTCCATCTCATAGATGACTGAAGCTTTTGGGCTTTGAAGAGTCAAAAGGAACCTCTTGATCGAAGAATAGAGAGAATGAAGGGAATAAAAGGGAATTCAGAAGAAAACCCACCAATTAGCCTCGTCTCTTTTCCTCCTTTCCATTCAATCAAAGGTCCTTTCTCTTCCAATTCATTCATTCCAAGTCAATCAACCGAGTCAATCAACAATAAACCAAGTAAAACCAATAAATCTAATTGTGTTAGCACCTTTAGAGGGCTTTGTTCCATATTGTTATTAATTTTTTTTTTGATTTGATGATCTCATCGAATTGAAATCTCGAAAATTGGCCAGTCTGAGACCGGCCTACCTCTTCTATTGCTTTTGTTTGTGTAATTGTTGATACATCACCTAGATCTTGATAAGATTAGTAGCTCAAGTCCATTTGATTTTCATTTTGAGCTTCGTCGCTCATTATGCCCTACTATTAGAGTGCCAGACCATGATCCAACTCTCATTTTTCTGACCTTAACAGTGCCAGACCATCATCGACCATTCATATCATCGATCTCTCATTTTTCTAACCTTAACATCTACCGTTGCCTGTATCCATAAAATATACAATATTCCTAAATTGACATCGAATTTTTCGGATCAGAATCAACGATTTTTGCTGGCTTTTTTGGGTTTAGTAGTTTTTGGGCTAAAGCTAAACCTGATTCTGGGAAAATTTTTGGAAATCTTGATCTTGATCCTCCAAATCTTGATCTTGATCCTCCCAATCTTGATCTTGATCCTTCGAATCTTGATCTTGATCCTCTAAATCTTGATCGTCCAAATCTTGATCAAAATTTACACTTTTAATTCTTATTTACATCCAAATTTGCAATTATATCTTTCCAAAGGTTTTCAAGATGACCAAAAACTTTTTAAAGTATGAAAGTTCGTATTGAGAATGAGAATGAGTTGGGGAAATCCCAATGAGGATTGAAAAAGAGAAAAGAAAGAGAGAAAAGAAAGAGAGAAAAGAAAGAGAGAAAGGAAAAGAGAGAGAGAGACGGGCCTTCAAGTTGATTTCATTTGATTTTTGGGGTCGAATGGAATGGAGGAGAGAGGGGAAGATGGGGAGATCTCTCTTCACTTTCAACTCACCACATCAACGAGAGAATCGAACGATGAAAAGGGAGTGAGTAGAAAGAAATTGGTACTCCTTCCTACTTCAAGTAGTAACGTTCTGAACTTATTTTTGTTTGTTTTATCGATGTATCCGTTCAAATAATTGTTTTCAGCTTTTAAAATAGCTCTAGGATTAGGATGTTTTAATTGAGCTCTAGGACTTGTAAGCTAGGCTAGAACAGAGCCAGATTAGGGCATCTAGCTTGGCCTTGTCTCAAAAAACAGTCTCAACAACCCTGCCTGGGTTTTCTATTTCGGAAAACGGAAAAACTAAGTTTCCTAGTTCTCTATTTTTCTTTCTCGAAGTTCTCCAATTGGCACCATTCTTCATAGAGACTAAAAAAAATTGTTATGGACCTAATAAAGAACGCAGAGGAAAGACAGTTGTTCACAATTGGTACGAACAACGAAAAAAAGGGTGCCGACACAAAAAACTCCATCCCATCACATAGCAATTTATCGAATATGGGGAAATGGATGGGACAAATTGGAGGAAATGGATTGGGTGCTTAAAAAATGACTGATGGATAGGAGGAATTTTAGATTTAATTGGTTTTTCATTCAGAAATGGAACCGTATTGGAACCGTATTAGATCAAAATAGAAAGCAAGATCAAAAGAAAGGCCTTTTTGGGAGAGTTTGGCTCAATCTTTACCACAATTGTTTCAAAAATCAAGATCAGATCAAGGGATTGCATCGGAAAAACATCTGTCATTCATTTTATCGATGAAAAGCCTTAATCCCATCGCCGTATATATTCAGCCTTCTTAATCTTTCTTCCCTTTCTTTCTGGATATCCTTTCCTTTCTTTGCTTTCCTTTCCTTGCTTTCCTTTCCTTTCTTTCCTTTCTTTCCTTTCTCTTCCTTTCCTTCCTTTCCTTTCCTTGCTTTCCTTTCCTTTCTCTTCCCTCTCTTCCCCCCTCCTTTGGGAACTCTAATTTGTCGTGAATGTGTCACTCCTTTAGCCCCTCAAAGACACACCGCTTTTGGTTATCAAAGAAAAGAAAAGGAAGGGATAAGGTCACAAAAAAAATACAACCATCCACAAACGGAAGGACCCGGAAGGAAGCCAAAAAGTATGCCGTTTTTTTTAAACTCGATAGATTTTGAAACATTCTTTTATTGTAATGAAGTATTAAGTTGGCAAGAATTCATGAATTCATTCCAAATAATTTCCATTATTTTTGACGACTTCTGCCCATTTTACAGGCAATTT